GGCAGAGGACAGGGAAGGTGTGCCAGCTCTGGGTCTGTACATCTAGAATGGATGTCCTGGCAGAGGACAGGGATGGTGTATTAGCTCTGGGTCTTTACACCTAGAATGGATGATCTCTCAGAGGACAGGGAAGGTGTGCCAGCTCCGGGTCTGTACACCGAGAATGGAGGTCCTGGCAGAGGACAGGGAAGGTGTGCCAGCTCCGGGTCTGTACACCTAGAATGGACGTCCTGGCAGAGGACAGGGATGGTGTGCCAGCTCCGGGACAATTTGATGGATATTCAAGCATTTTGTAGGACAGTAGTGACATAAACAAGCTGAATGGTCTCATCCGAAGGTGAATTCAGGAATCAGACTCCTGGCGCCATCGTTGTCTCAGACCCCTCCACCTAATCACTCTGATTGGGAGGATATACAGACAGTGTATGTCAGATCAGAGCTCAACCATCCAATGGCCGTCCACTTGTGTTACTCCAAGTTGTAGAGGGGAAGATACCAATCTGCACCAAGCATTACCATTGTCCTTCATTGGGGATTCCTGATCTCTTGTATTCCAGTTCCAGCCACCATCCCATGTGTGCCCCCAACAGCAGCCATGGATGATGAAGAAGATTACGGGTTCAGCAGCACCCCACCCAAGCTGCTCGCCACGTTTCAGGGTGAGTCTATATTCCTTTTACACTTTTCTATCGGGTTTGATAATGAAAAGACAGATTGTGCCCGAGCCACCAACCAGGAAATTATTAGACTCATACTCTTTAGATGTCCCCTCCCCCACAGTCACACACTATTATTATACATTTATATAGCTCTGACATATACCACAGCGCTTTACAGAGAACACTGAGCCAGTCACATCAGTCTCTGTACCAGAGGAGCTCACACTTTAATGTCCCCTCCCCCACAGTCACATCAGTCTCTGCACCAGAGAGGTTGGTTGTGCTGTAGCTCTCCCTCTCCAGACACTAGGGGGCCAGGCCTGCACACCTGACCCTGGGAGGGTGGAGGTGTCAAACACATTTGATGTGTTATCTGAGGTGGAGGATGAGGGATCTTCAGGGGATGAGTCTCTGGTTTCCATGGAGGGGGAATCACAGAGGACTCTGAAGCGTGTAGGGTCTCCAAGTAGGGAGGGGGGTAAGCAGGCTAAGAAACGGGTACCTCGATCATCCTGATGGCGGTTCCCACTCCTTTGAAGGTGGCGACCATTAATGTCTCCAGCATAAAATCAGTAAGCGCTCGTAACATGGCCTTATTTTTGCTCAGCAGGTTTGATGCTGACATTTTCTTTTTGCAGGAGACCAGGTTGTCCAGTTTGGGGGATGTCCATATGGTGAAGAAGGAGTGGAGGCGCGGCCCCTCCTTCTGGTCTCTTGCGGCCGAGCCTTACACTGGAGTTGCGGTACTTTTTTTCCGGCATGGTAACCTGTCGGCGGATTATTGAGGTAGAAATGGAGAGATGCATGGTCTTAGACGTCTCCATGGGGGGGCAGGACCTGCGCCTGATTAACATCTATGGGCCCCAGACAAAATGGGACAGGAAATGCCTCTTCATGAAGATCAAGCCTTTCCTTTTTACAGCCCAGCAAGTTGTCTTCGGTGGTGACTTTAACACCGTCACTAGGACTAAGGACAGGAGAGGGACCGGAGTCAGGCTGGACTGTGACGGCTAGAGAGGCAGGTCTGGTTGATGTGCACATTCATTGCTGCCCAGACGACACGGGATTCACTTTTCAGCGAGGTTCTAGTCAGAGTAGAATAGATGGGATTTTTTAAAGGGGAACTCCGCCTTCTCGGCACCAGTGTGTCAGGCGGTGGAGTTTTCCGATCACTGTATTCTGTCTGTGACTCTGAGTGGCCCCGATACACCACCTAAGGGGAGGGGTACCTGGAAGCTGAATTCGGCACTCCTGGACGATGAGAAGGTGAGTCAATCCTTTGAGGATTTTTTTCAGGCACAGGTATCAATCATGGACGTTTGCAGCAGTAAGTCCGAGTGGTGGGAGCTTACAAAACGAAGGATCGTTGGGTTTTTTCAAGGCCATAGGAAGGAATAAACAGCTTGATAAGTATGTCACCTACCAGCGTCTGCGGAGGAAGCTCGATCGGTTTGTCTCCAATAATGGAGATCCAGAAGCGATCTCTGAGGTAAACACTCCTCCTCAGGCAGTGTCAATATGACAGGCATGCCTCTTTGGTTCTGGAAAGGGATTATGGGAAAATATCACTCGCCCGACCCTTACCAGAACTGCAAACAAGGTAGAGCAGTTAAGTCAGTTGTAGGCCTGGTTGACAGTACGGGTTCCCTGACAAAGTCCAAGTCGGGGATCCTGGAAACCTCCAGGTCATATTATGCTGACCTCCTGGGTAGGAGGGACCTCCATCGGGCGGCATGTTGGGTTTTCTGGACTCTACTCCAGGACTGGGAAATGGCAGTTCTCCTGTGAGTCCTGGGTAGGAGGGACCTCGATCAGGCGAGCATGTTGGGTTTCCTGGACTCTACTCCAGGACTGGGAAATGGCAGTTCTCTCCTGTGAGTCCTGGCTAGGAGGGACCTCGATCGGGCGAGCATGTTGGGTTTCCTGGACTCTACTCCAGGACTGGGAAATGGCAGTTCTCCTGTGAGTCCTGGGTAGGAGGGACCTCGATCGGGCGAGCATGTTGGGTTTTCTGGACTCTACTCCAGGACTGGGAAATGGCAGTTCTCCTGTGAGTCCTGGGTAGGAGGGACCTCGATCGGGCGAGCATGTTGGGTTTCCTGGACTCTACTCCAGGACTGGGAAATGGCAGTTCTCCTGTGAGGTGACAGAGGACATCACGGCAGATGAGGTGGTGAAAGCTAGCTATTGATCAGCTTGCCATGAAGAAGTCGCCTGGGCCAGACGGATTGACAGCCGAGTTTTATAAGCACTTTAAGGTCACTCTGGCCCCATATTTGGTGGAGGTTTTTAATGGCTGTCTGAGAGAGGGTTTGCTCTCTCCCTCCATGCGACAATCTGCAGTGATTCTTCTGTCAAAGGGTAAGGATTCTTCGAGAATTGAGAATTGGCGGCCCATTAGCCTTCTCAATGTTGATAGGAAGATATTGGCAAAGATCATTTTCTGGCGTTTATCGTCTGTTGCGGGCAATTTACTTTCTCGCCATCAGCACTGTTCGGTTCAGGGAAGAAGCACTTTTTCAGCAGTGTTAGCTCTCCGGGAGGCCCTGGAGCGGTGCAGGGCTGCAGGCTGGGGAAAGTTCCTGCTGGCATTGGATCAGGCCATAGATTTTGATTGGGTCAATAGTGAGTACCTATGGCTGCTTCTTGGCAAGTATGGCCTGGAGGGGGGCTTCATCGATTGGCTAAAGACTTTATACAGAGGGGTTGAAAGCTTCATGCTTGTGAATGGTTGGATTGGATGGCCCTTTGAGGTTGGCTCAGGTGTGCGTCAGGGGTGTCCTTTGAGTCCTCTGCTATATGCGTTTGTAATCGATCCCTTCATTCAGAGGTTAGAGAGCGGACCGTTGTGTGGAGTTCCTTTGGGCATTCCTGGGGAGCCCTCTCTGAGGGTCGTGGCCTATGCTGATGACGTGTCTCTTTTCATCTCCGGGACGCAGGAGGCAGAGGAGGTGGCCTTGGTGATGGAACAGTATGCTGAGGCAGGAGGAGGAGGAGGTGGTCTCGGTGATGGAACAGTATGCTGAGGCAGGAGGAGGAGGAGGTGGTCTCGGTGATGGAACAGTATGCTGAGGCAGGAGGCGGAGGAGGTGGTCTCGGTGATGGAACAGTATGCTGAGGCAGGAGGCGGAGGAGGAGGTGGTCTCGGTGATGGAACAGTATGCTGAGGCAGGAGGTGGAGGAGGTGGTCTCGGTGATGGAACAGTATGCTGAGGCAGGAGGCGGAGGAGGTGGTCTCGGTGATGGAACAGTATGCTGAGGCAAGAGGCAGAGGAGGTGGTCTCGGTGATGGAACAGTATGCTGAGGCAGGAGGAGGAGGAGGTGGTCTCGGTGATGGAACAGTATGCTGAGGCATCTGGCTCAAAGATCAATCAGGATAAGAGTGAGGTTTTCTGGATGGGAGAGGAAGGCGAAGGCTTTACCCTTCCGGACGCCTTCCCAGAGCCCCAGCAGGAAATTAAAGTTTTAGGCATCAGATTTGGTCCCGGTGATTACGGCCTTGCAAATTGGGTAAGCAGGCTACAAGATGCCGATGCCAAGGTGGCCAGCTGGAAGGATTGGAAACTCTCTTACAGGGAAAGGATTGACCTGATTAAAACTTACCTGATCCCGGTATTTCTGTATGTCAGCTTTGTCTGTGTTTTGCCAGTGTCTCTCTATCTGAGGATCTACAGTTTCTTTCTGTGGAGCTGGGAGAATGGTGGGCCAGTGAAAAGCCTGAGGGTCCTACATGGTAAGCTCCCGACTTATGTTGCCCCATGTCTGAAAATGCTTTGGCAATGGCGAGTGACGGCGGAGGAAATTAAATCTCTTCCTAGGAAGGCCCTGGAGAGGAGGGTTGTTGAATCTGCCTTTAGCGAGCCATTGGCCTTGAAGGATTGCCCAGGCCCGGTTATGAGGGAGGGTCTGCGTTTGATGAATCTGGAGAGAATCCCTTTAAAGTTTTAGGATTTGGCCTGGCTCTCATTCCATGGCAGACTCTATGTGAAGGGCAACCTGAAGCATCACTCTGCGGAGAACCGTGGTTGTCCAAGAGTGGAGTGCGGTGGGGTGGAGGAGACGATGGACCATTTCTTGCTTCAGTCTAAAAGCGGGTAGGGGGAGCTCTGGGGATCCCTTTCCTTTCCCGCTTGAGTTATGCGGAGTGGTCTTAAGGTGCCTTTTCAGACTCACCGGGACTTTGATTTTGAGACCCTTTTTCTAGTTAGCTTAGTAGTCCGTTACTACATGTGGAATGCACGGTGTCAGGTTTCCTCCTGCCGAGGTGGTGGTGAACAACATTCTGGGTGAGGTTGGGAAGATTCGGGGTCTTAAAAAGGACAGGTGGCGACCGGGAGCCTGGACAAAGGCGTGGAGGAATGTCAGTTCGCTGTAGCTGCTGTCTGTCAGTCTCTGGGGGCGTGGCTTCTCTTTCTGTCTTTTCATGCCCCCTAGATTTTTGTAACATCAGATTTTTGGAAAAATGCTGCATGCATGGGATCGATGTATGGGATCAATGTATGGGATCAATGTATGGGATCAATGCATGGGATCAATGTATGGGATCAATGTATGGGATCAATGCATGGGATCAATGCGTGGGATCAATGTATGGGATCAATGTATGGGATCAATGCATGGGATCAATGCGTGGGATCAATGCATGGGATCAATGCGTGGGATCAATGCGTGGGATCAATGCGTGGGAGCAATGCGTGGGATCAATGCGTGGGATCAATGGATGGGATCAATGGATGGGATCAATGTGTGGGATCAATGTGTGGGATCAGTGTGTGGGATCAATGTATGGGATCAATGCATGGGATCAATGTTTCATCATTTCTTAGCCTGAGGGGGTGTTTAGGTGACAGTCGGGTTGTGTTTAGGTGACGGTCGGGTTGTGTTTAGGTGAAGGTCGGGTTGTGTTTAGGTGACGGTCGGGTTGTGTTTAGGTGACAGTCGGGTTGTGTTTCGGTGACAGTCGGTGACAGTCGGGTTGTGTTTCGGTGACAGTCGGGTTGTGTTTAGGTGAAGGTCGGGTTGTGTTTAGGTGAAGGTCGGGTTGTGTTTTCGGTAATGGTCGGGTTGTGTTTGGTGACAGTCGGGTTGTGTTTAGGTGAAGGTCGGGTTGTGTTTAGGTGACAGTCGGTTGTGTTTAGGTGAAGGTCGGGTTGTGTTTTAGGGTGAAGGTCGGGGGTTGTGTTTAGGTGACAGTCGGGTTGTGTTTAGGTGACGGGTTGTGGTCGGGTTGTGTTTAGGTGAAGGTCGGGTTGTGTTTAGGTGAAGGTCGGGTTGTGTTTAGGTGACAGTCGGGTTGTGTTTAGGTGAGGTCGGGTTGTGTTTAGGTGACAGTCGGGTTGTGTTTAGGTGAAGGTCGGTTGTGTTTAGGTGACGGTCGGGTTGTGTTTAGGTGATGGACGGGTTGTGTTTAGGTGACAGGTCGGGTTGTGTTTAGGTGAAGGTCGGGTCTGTGTTTAGGTGACGGTCGGGTTGTGTTTAGGTGAAGGTCGGGTTGTGTTTAGGTGAAGGTCGGGTTGTGTTTAGGTGAAGGTCGGTCTGTGTTTAGGTGACGGTCGGTCTGTGTTTAGGTGAAGGTCGGGTTGTGTTTAGGTGAAGGTCGGGTTGTGTTTAGGTGAAGGTCGGGCTGTGTTTAGGTGAAGGTCGGGTCTGTGTTTAGGTGAAGGTCGGGTTGTGTTTAGGTGGACGGTCGGGTTGTGTTTAGGTGAAGGTCGGGTTGTGTTTTAGGTGAAGGTCGGGTTGTGTTTAGGTGAAGGTCGGGTTGTGTTTAGGTGAAGGTCGGGTTAGGTGTGTTTAGGTGTTTAGGTGAGGTCGGGTTGTGTTTAGGTGAAGGTCGGGTTGTGTTTAGGTGATGGTCGGGTTGTGTTTAGGTGACGGTCGGGTCGGGTTGTTTAGGTGAAGGTCGGGTTGTGTTTAGGTGATGGTCGGGTTTGTTTTAGGTGACGGTCGGGTTGTGTTTAGGTGAAGGTCGGGTTGTGTTTCGGTGATGGTCGGGTTGTGTTTCGGTGAAGGTCGGGTTGTGTTTAGGTGAAGGTCGGGGTTGTGTTTAGGTGAAGGTCGGGTTGTGTTTAGGTGAAGGTCGGGGTTGTGTTTAGGTGAGGTCGGGTTGTGTTTAGGTGAAGGTCGGGTTGTGTTTAGGGGTTGTGTTTAGGTGAGGTCGGGTTGTGTTTAGGTGAAGGTGGTTGGTTTAGGTGACAGTCGGGTTGTGTTTTAGGTGAGGTCGGGTTGTGTTTAGGTGAAGGTCGGGTTGTGTTTAGGTGAAGTCGGGTTGTGTTTAGGTGAAGGTCGGGTTGTGTTTAGGTGAAGGTCGGGTTGTGTTTAGGTGAAGGTCGGGTTGTGTTTTAGGTGAAGGTCGGGTTGTGTTTAGGTGAAGGTCGGGTTGTGTTTAGGTGACGGTCGGGTTTGTGTTTAGGTGAAGGGACGGTCGGGTTTGTGTTTAGGTGAAGGTCGGGTTGTGTTTAGGTGAAGGTCGGGTTTGTGTTTAGGTGAAGGTCGGGTTGTGTTTAGGTGACGGTCGGGTTGTGTTTAGGTGAAGGTCGGGTTGTGTTTAGGTGAGGTCGGGTTGTGTTTAGGTGAAGGTCGGGTTGTGTTTAGGTGAAGGTCGGGTTGTGTTTCGGTGACGGTCGGGTTGTGTTTTTCGGTGAAGGTCGGTTTTGTGTTTAGGTGAAGGTCGGGTTGTGTTTAGGTGAAGGTCGGGTTGTGTTTTAGGTGAACGGTCGGGTTTAGGTTGTGTTTAGGTGAAGGTCGGTTTGTGTTTAGGTGACAGGTCGGGTTGTGTTTAGGTGACAGGTCGGGTTGTGTTTAGGTGAAGGTCGGGTTGTGTTTAGGTGTGAGGTCGGGTTGTGTTTAGGTGAAGGTCGGTTTGTGTTTAGGTGAAGGTCGGGTTGTGTTTAGGTGAACGGTCGGGTTGTGTTTGTGAAGGTCGGGTTTGTGTTTAGGTGAAGGTCGGGTTGTGTTTTAGGTGAAGGTCGGGTTGTGTTTGTGTTTGTTTAGGGTGAGGTGAAGGTCGGGTTGTGTTTAGGTGACGGTCGGGTTGTGTTTAGGTGAAGGTCGGGGTTTAGGTGAAGGTCGGGTGTTTAGGTGAAGGTCGGGTTGTGTTTAGGTGACGGTCGGGTTGTGTTTAGGTGAAGGTCGGGTTGTGTTTAGGTGAAGGTCGGGTTGTGTTTAGGTGAAGGTCGGGTTGTGTTTAGGTGAAGGTCGGGTTGTGTTTAGGTGAGGAAGGTCGGTTTGTGTTTAGGTGAGGTCGGGTTGTGTTTAGGTGAAGGTCGGTTTGTGTTTAGGTGTCGGGTTTGTTTTGTCGGTTTAGGTGACGGTCGGGTTGGTGTTTAGGTGAAGGTCGGGTTGTGTTTAGGTGAAGGTCGGGTTGTGTTTAGGTGAAGGTCGGGTTGTGTTTAGGTGATGGTCGGGTTGTGTTTAGGTGAAGGTCGGGTTGTGTTTAGGTGAATGGTCGGGTTTGTGTTTAGGTGAAGGTCGGGTTGTGTTTAGGTGACGGTCGGGTTGTGTTTAGGTGAAGGTCGGGTTGTGTTTAGGTGACGGTCGGGTTGTTTAGGTTTAGGTGTTTTAGGTGACGGGGTTGTGTTTAGGTGAAGGTCGGGTTTGTGTTTAGGTGACGGTCGGGTTGTGTTTAGGTGAAGGTCGGGTTGTGTTTAGGTGACAGTCGGGTTGTGTTTAGGTGAGGTCGGGTTGTGTTTAGGTGAAGGTCGGGTTGTGTTTAGGTGACAGTCGGGTTGTGTTTAGGTGAAGGTCGGGTTGTGTTTTAGGTGAAGGTTTAGGTGTTTAGGTGACAGTCGGGTTGTGTTTAGGTGAAGGTCGGTTTGTATTTAGGTGACGGTCGGGTTGTGTTTAGGTGAAGGTCGGGTTGTGTTTAGGTGAGGTCGGGTTGTGTTTAGGTGGAGGTCAGTCGGGTTGTGTTTAGGTGACAGGTCGGGGTTGTGTTTAGGTGAAGGTCGGGTTGTTTAGGTGTTTAGTTGTGTTTGACGGTCGGGGTTGTGTTTAGGTGAAGGGGTCGGGTTGTGTTTAGGTGAAGGTCGGGTTGTGTTTAGGTGAAGGGTCGGGTTGTGTTCGGGTGGTCGGGTTTGGGGTTGTGTTTAGGTGAAGGTCGGGGTGTTTAGGTGAAGGTCGGGTTGTGTTTAGGTGAAGGTCGGGTTGTGTTTAGGTGAAGGTCGGGTTGTGTTTAGGGTGACAGGTCGGGTTGTGTTTAGGTGAAGGTCGGGTTGTGTTTAGGTGACAGTCGGGTTGTGTTTAGGTGAAGGTCGGGTTTGTGTTTAGGTGACAGGTCGGGTTGTGTTTAGGTGAAGGTCGGGTTGTGTTTTGGTGACGGTCGGGTTGTGTTTAGGTGAAGGTCGGGTTGTGTTTAGGTGAGGTCGGGTTTGTGTTTAGGTGAAGGTCGGGTTGTGTTTAGGTGAAGGTCGGGTTGTTTAGGTGAAGGTCGGGTTGTGTTTAGGTGACGGTCGGGTTGTGTTTAGGTGAAGGTCGGGTTGTGTTTAGGTGACAGTCGGGTTGTGTTTAGGTGAAGGTCGGTTTGTGTTTAGGTGACAGTCGGGTTGTGTTTAGGTGACAGTCGGGTTGTGTTTAGGTGAAGGTCAGTTTGTGTTTAGGTGACAGTCGGGTTGTGTGTTTAGGTGGTGTCAGTTTGTGTTTAGGTGACGGTCGGGTTGTGTTTAGGTGAAGGTCGGGTTTGTGTTTAGGTGAAGGTCGGGTTGTGTTTAGGTGAAGGTCGGGTTGTGTTTAGGTGAAGGTCGGTTCAGTGTTTAGGTGTGTTTAGGTGACGGTCGGGTTGTGTTTAGGTGATGGACGGGTTGTGTTTAGGGTGACGGTCGGGTTGTGTTTAGGTGAAGGTCGGGTTGTGTTTAGGTGAAGGTCGGGTTGTGTTTAGGTGAAGGTCGGGTTGTGTTTCGGTGACGGTCGGGTTGTGTTTCGGTGACGGTCGGGTTGTGTTTAGGTGACGGTCGGGTTGTGTTTAGGGTGAAGGTCGGGTTGTGTTTAGGTGACGGTCGGGTTGTGTTTAGGTGACGGTCGGGTTGTGTTTAGGTGAAGGTCGGGTTGTGTTTAGGTGACGGTCGGGTTGTGTTTAGGTGAAGGTCGGGTTGTGTTTAGGTGAGGTCGGGTTGTGTTTAGGTGAAGGTCGGTTGTGTTTAGGTGATGGTCGGGTTGTGTTTTAGGTGAAGGGTCGGGTTTTGTGTTTAGGTGAGGTCGGGTTGTGTTTAGGTGACGGTCGGGTTTGTGTTTAGGTGATGGACGGGTTGTGTTTAGGTGAAGGTCGGGTTTTGTGTTTAGGTGACGGTCGGGTTGTGTTTCGGTGGGGGGGTCGGGTTGTGTTTAGGTGAAGGTCGGGTTGTGTTTAGGTGGGGTCGGGTTGTGTTTAGGTGGGGGTCGGGTTGTGGGGGGTGAGGTCGGGTTGTGTTTTG